GAATCATTATACTTCATGAGCTGCAAAGTGTGCAAGGTAATGGTAAACGGACTGTACTTATATAAAACCTTTCTATCTTATCAAGATAATCGAAGCTCTTTCCAACACAATCTGTGCCTCATTTAGCCAGTCATACAGCGACATACATTACATACATACACTAGAGCGAAACATTGCCTCTGAGGGGCTCAGTGTCTTGCCCAGGGACACTTCGGCATGCGACTGCTGGTGGAATCAAACCCACAACTCTTCCATTGGAGGATGACTGCTCTAACCACTCAGCCACAGCCGCCCCAAAACTTCAGCTGTTGGAGTCAGTCAAAACTGCTTTTCTGTTAGCAAAATATTTTATGGACATGTTTTGATTAAATTTTCATAATGTATGCTGAATATGCACTTACAAACAATTGTATTTTGGGTTCAGTTCAATTCAAGGTGGCCACCACAGCTAATTCAGGAAGACCCCCCACCTTTACAAATGACTGTGGCTTCAGTCAAACCATAAATTATTGTAATGTATAATAACTGAATGGTTAAAAAATGACTATTTGACATGTCTGATTTGTCCTTTCACGGCACCCGTAGCGCTATCTACCGTATGTACTGTACCCAACTCTGTACTTGAACGCATATTAAACACATATTGACTGATGATACTTTTCATTTTCATTATTGTTCTGACAATAAAGGCTCTAAGCCAAAGTTGCAGCAACAATCTAGGCAGCGACGAGAGCCAGAAGCGAGATTGGCACATTGTTCTGTAGACTTGATCTTGTGTGAACTTTGCACCGCTTGTTGTGCAGCAACATACACCGGGTTTACCTTGATTTGTGTCTCCAACAGCGTGCCGTGTCCGGCCACCAGCAGTATGCAGATCATCTGTGCACTTTCTTCGTCCCAGTGTAGCTATGATAGAAAAAGTCCTCTCCGTGTGTCCAGGTTTTACAGAAAGTAAAACTCATTCGAGCTTACTTCTGGAAGGCGCCTTCAGAATAAAACGTTTATGAACGAGCGAGCGCAGTTCATCCTCTGGCCGGACAAAATAAACACCAACAAACCGACATGTGCGCTTGTATTTTATGTTTAAAGTGTAGGACACATATCTTAATAAAGCACATATTAAAGATAAATATTAAAACGTCCTTTTTTTAATCATGAGTGAAACTTTTGGCCAAACTGCTTCCGCTTTTAGAGACGACCTCCAACCGGAAGAAGCTGAACACGTGGCTTCAAAATAAAAGCCTGTTCATTCAGAGTAAAATGTTTCTGTGACCTTCAGAGATGTAGTTTCTTAAAGAATCAAACATTTTGAAACCATTTTATTTTCATAAGAAATTGCTTGATAACTAAATTAAATCACAAAAAACTCGTTTTTATTATTTAATTTTTTTTGTGCTGCACAACCTGATCATTAACTTTTTAGTTTTTTTTAATATTAAACATAAAAAAACAAAGTTAACGTGAACTGATTAAAAACAAATGAATAAAATA